AAGCAAGAAGTAAGTCTGGATCATTATACAATAATGTAAACTTTAATCATCAGCAATGACGAAAGAAAAGATTCTAAGGAGCACTATAAAAAGCCTCCTATAAGCTATAATAGGCATGGAGCATATGAACACCCAAATACCTTACATGAGTAGCTTTTACCATGTATCTGTAAAACACCCTTCAAGAGGAAAGGGAACTTTCCCTTTCTCATCTCAAAAATAAAATCACGTTTTAGAATAATCCTTATGCTTCTATCCTTCCTAATTTCCATCATAGAAAATAATGAGAAGAATTTTTGAAGATAGTTAGACAGCAGTGAGGTCACTAGTCTTGTTCAAATACTTGTGTAGCCAAAGTGTGGTTTTGAAGGTTGAACGAAGAAGTCATTAGCTTGACCAAAGGCTAGACTAAGAAATTTTCAAGTATGATTCTAACTCATTCTTTTTATCATGCGGAAGCTAAGTGGGCATAGAAACATTCGTATTATTGTTTGACATAGTTATTTTTGAGATTAGAAATTGTTGTACCTATGATTTTGATGATTACAAAACACATTTGAGTAACTAATTGGTTTATTTAAGTGTATAGTTAAGTTGCTAAAAGATTGCAAGTAAACTTGGATTGCACTTAAAAATGGACCAGAAAGGCTTGAGTATGTGCAGAGAGTCGGCTCTTGAAAGTTGCAGCTAGCTCTGGTGAAATGGAAGTGCAGAGAGCCAGCTCTGGAAGCTGCAGTCGACTTTACGGGTAAAGACTTAAAGGTTCGTTGTTTGGCACGCGCGGAGAAAAGACGCAAAGCCGGCTCTAATTTTGCAGCCGGCTATCAAGGTGCATTTAATGCACAACGGTCGAGTTATTTGAAGATTATTTAATGTGTTTAAAGTTGGAATCCCAAAGCCGGCTCTAGGCTTTGCAGCCGGCTGTGGAAGAAAACAGAATGTGCAGGAAACTCGCAAAGTCGGCTGTAGAACTTTTAAGCCAGATCTACGGAAAAAACAGAATGCAGGAATCCCGCAAAGCCGGCTATAGAAATGGTGAGCCGGCTTTATAGAGCCGGCTCTAGGAAGTTAAGTCGGCTCTCCTAACAATCCTGCAACTCGAGCTCTACGTCCTGCAGAGCATTAAATGACCCCCAACGGCTAGTAACGGCTATTTTTGACCATGGGGTTATAAATATGGTTGGTAGAAGATCTGAAGGAGGTTTAGAGAGCATTGTATTGAATATCTTTACCTACCAACTTGTGCTTTAACTTGAGATTTTGATCTTTGAGAGATCTTTATTTGTAATCCTC